CACTAACAATGAACCAATAGAAAGAGAAATCAGGAAAACAATTCCTTAACAATTGCATCTAAAAGAATAAAATACCTAGGAATAAACCTGATGAAAAAAGTGAAAGACCTATACCCTGAAAACTACAAGACACTCTTAAGAGAAATTAAAGAGGACACTAACAAATGGAAACTCATCCCATACTCCTGGCTAGGAAGAATTAATATCGTCAAAATGGCCATCTTGCCCAAAGCAATATACAGATTTGATGCAATCCCTATCAAATTACCAACAGCATTCTTCAATGAACTGGAACCAATAGTTCAAAAATTCATATGGAACCACCAAAGACTCCGCATAGCCAAAGCAATCCTGAGAAGGAAGAATAAAGTGGGGGTATCTTGCTCCCCATCTTCATGTTCTACTACAAAGCCATGGTAATCAAGACAATTTGGTACTGGAACAAGAACAGAGCCACAACCAGTGGAACAGAATAGAGACTCCAAACATTAACCCAAACATATATAGCCAATTAATATATGATTAAAGGAGCCATGGACATACAATGGGGAAATGACCGTCTCTTCAACAAATGGTGCTGGCAAAACTGGACAGCTACATGTAAGAGAATGAAACTGGATCACTGTCTAACCCATATACAAAAGTAAATTCAAAAATGGATCAAAGACCGGAATGAAAGTCATGAGATCATAAAACTCTTAGAAAAAGACATAGGCAATAATCTCAATGACATAAATATGAGTGACTTCTTCATGAACATATCTCCCCAGGCTAGGGAAACAAAAGCAAAAATGAACAAGTTGGTCTATATCAAGCTAAATAGCTTCTGTACAGCAAAGAATACCATCAATAGAATAAAAAGGTGTCCTACAGTATGGGAGAATATATTCATAAATGACAGATCTGATAAAGGGTTGACATCCAAAATATATAAAGAGCTCACACAGCTCAACAAACAAAAAGCAATTAATTCAATTAAAAAATGTGCATAGGAGCTGAATAGACAGTTCTCTAAGGAAGAAGTTCAGTTGGCCAACAGACACATAAAAAGATGCTCCACATCTCTTGTCATCAGAGAAATGCAAATTAACACCACAATGAGATATCACTTTACACCAGTAAGGATCGCCATCATTGAAAAGACAAGCAACAACAAATATTGGTGAGGTTGTGGAGCAACGGGAACCCTCCTACACTGCTGGTGGGAATGTAAATTAGTTCAACCATTGTGCAAGGCAGTATGGAGTTTCCTCAAAATGCTCAGAATAAAAATACCATTTGGCCCAGGAATTCCACTTCTAGGAATTTACCCTAAGAATGCAGCACTCCAGTTTGGAAAAGACAGATGCA